TTGGACCTCTAGAAGCGAATAACTACAACAGATGCATGAGCCATCAGGAAGAAGTTCTCCCAACCAGCGACGATCTCGCGAGCGCACACATCGGCTACGGTGCGGGAGAAAAGTTACAGATGCAGACCCTGCACTGTAAAGCTTTATATATGAATGTCAGAACACGTACAACTAAAATCTAGAGTATTAACATGGAGGCGGATTTTGATCTAAAAATCCTAAAACGCCAAAAATGATCGTTAAAATTCTCTTAATGTGTTGCAAAAACTCTACCAAAAGCAAAGAAAAATTACGTAAAAGATTTTATCATTTATAATAGTTCATAATTTTTTTTACTAGCTCTTTGATGTTATCGACGGCACTGACAATCGTAGAAAATGATAGAAACAGACTTACTATCGCTAAGCGATATTAAGACTATAATCGCTAAGCGACGCTATATGAACGAACACGGCATGTCTAGTACATTTAGCTACTCTGCATTATCGTTGCAGGTTAGCATCGACCCCCCTCCCTCCACGCACACACATAGCAACTACCTCAGTGCCTACTAAACCTCTTTTTTATTATATTTATTTTCTGTCTGTTTGACTATACAAACCTTTCAGGAGTTTTAAAAATGAAAATTAATTGTCTTGTTAGAGTTTACCACTTGCACGTTAATTGTCTCTAATTGTTAGAACAGAATAAGAATTATTAGTTAGGATTTATAGAAAATGATGGTGAAAGTGTGGAAATGAGAGAAAGCAATGTATTGGTTGTGTCGTGTGCGAGTGTAATGGAAAGTAATAAATGTATGAAGGTCTGACTAGGTTTTCGGGAATTAATTCTGCGTGGAAATGAGTATGATTGACGAAGATTAAAAGCATTTTTGTGGGAAATGATGAATATAAAAAAATGTTGGTTCTGTTATTTGCCTGAAACATCATTTGCGTTGTTGAAGTCTTCAGCTCTTCTTATTCAATTTCAGATATCAGGTTTACTATTTGTTTTGTGAATTAATCTCATGATGGCTAATGCTTGTAAACGTTTATGAGTTGGTAATTATGATTTCCTAGACATTT